TTTGATAAAGATTTTAAACATGATGCATCCAAATTAATATTTACTAGGTGACAGACACAATTAGCCCTTTTTGATTTCGAAATTCATTATGAAAATGGAAGTGATAATTCCCTCCCAGACTTCTTATCTAGAAAATATCTTTCTTCTTAAAAAAATGGGTTTTCTTGACTTATTTACTGATATTTCTTTGGTTACAATTTGAAGGCAGTTCCTCTTAATAGAGATTTACAGGAACATATTTTATGGAGAATTATAGACGGAATGGTGATGGATATCGTCACTAATTACATAATTGAACAAGAGTTATATGAAAGATTTTATTGTTCTGAAGTTTATGACCTTTTAGATGACTAAACCTAAATGCTATGTTTGCAGAATGGATCCTCCTTGGGTAACCAAGGCTATAGGAAGGGGCAGTTATACTCGCGGAAGGGGAAGACCATCCTCCTCAAAAACATCAGGATCGTCATACGGATCCTCATCCAGCTCTCTAATTATACAAAAGGGAGGAATGAGCTTGGTAAAACTAACAAGCTCTTCAAAAGAATCTACTTCTTCGATACATCTGGATGATATTCCAGAGAATAATCCATTATACGCCCAACTGAGAGCATATTTATCTCAAAAGCAAAGTGATACTTTTGCATTGCTGGCGAAAGAAGAGGTTGATGATATTAGATCCTATGAAAGGGTAGTAAAGAAAGAAATGATATTTCTTATTGAAAACTCTGAGATACAGAGAAAAGAAGAACCCTGGAAGATATTCCAGCGATATTTACTTAACGGATTATACTTCCCAGGAGAGTCATACAAAACTCGCTTGTATTACGAGACCATTTTAACGAATACATGTAGTGTTGAATTTCAGCACTTCTCAGGTTATAACACCAGCGAGAACGTTTATAACTTTTCCAAAATGATCATAAACAGATTATATCAATTGAAGATTGGGGTATATCCTCAATGAAAGAAAGGCAGATCAACCTCAATAAAATCCCTACCAATTTCACTTATTGGGATTATATTAACGCTTTCAGCAAAGTCCTTTATTATAGCAATGAAAGGCATAAACATATTTGGTTTATCAAGGTATGTGCAAAGATATTTGTTGACCCAATTCCTAACTGGTTCTTGAACTGGTGGTCATACCACGGACCGACGGTAAATATTTTACCTGATCCCTTTTTAAAGTTATACAAAAACTGGGTTAAGGTTTCACCAGACCTTAATGATTTATACCACTCAGATCATGTTTGTTATATAGAACAAATTGAACAAATTTATTTCTTCATAGAATTCTCGATTCCATGGATCCATAAATGGACCCCGAAAGTAGGTTTTACTGAAGAACAAATTTCATGTTTATATCGAATTTATTATAATAATTTCTGGGATAAATTAATGAAGAAGGATCCCATGACTAAATCATGATATGGCCAAGAATTATTAGACTCTATTTCTCAAAGAATCCAAGATTATGGTACTATTCCTCACAAAGGAATAATTGCTGACAACTTCGTCAAACATATTGCCAGAAGAATTTCCATTCAAGATGGAAATAAAGAAGAAATGATAAAGGAGTATTTGGATGAAATTAGGAGGAATCTACTCCTCAATATCACTCACTATGAAAAATCAGACACTTCAATGAGAAGTGAAACAAGTGATGATATTGCAGATGATGCTCAAGAGGCACAACCTTGTGAATCAGCGAAACCCGTGACAGAAGATATGTTGTCTAAAGCAGAAGGTTTACTTAGGGAGTTGAAGAAGAAAGACAAGATGACCACTATTGATTAACAGTAGATACACTGTTAAACCACAGTAGAAAAACTGTTACTGTACATTTGGGACCCATTGATAAGGGACCCAGGGTCACTGTAAATCACTGTAAATCACTGTAGATCATTGTAGATCACTATTGACCACTGTAGATCACTGTAGATAGATCCCTTTTTATTCTATAAATAAGGTCTTTTGTAGTTTGAAGGAAGGGCGTCGAACAACACTCTCTCTTCAAAAGTTTTTTTTTAAGTTGTTTGTTTCTCTTAGTTTGTAAAACTCTTGGTTTGCCGGAAGTTCGCCGAAAGTAAATAAAGTTGTTGATATTTCTCTTCAGCCTGTTGGCCATCATTACAAGGTAATTTAATTCTCTTCTTTTAATTTTAAATCTTTTTATATCTCCGATCTAGAAGCCGTGACTATGTCCGGCTAAAAAATTATATCTATGCCGGATAACTAACTTCTCTTTTATATAGACCATGAACGGATCTAAGCTTTATTTAAATATAGAAGAATTTTAGTATGACTTCTCGACTTGGTTCTGAGATTGAGGTACAGTCAGATCTAGTACTACTTTTATTGACTTTGTCTTTATGACTCCGTCTGATAAGCCGTGGTTTTTAGCCCGAAATTGAGTTTAATAAGTAGGGCGCCTCATACCCGGTTAGAACTATCAGACACATGAGCTTAATAAAAGTATGTATTAGCTTCTTGACAGGCCCTTTACTTGGGTAAAATAGTTAAACCATGCAGTCTGAGAAACTATATTAAAAGTCTTGTGTATTTCGATTCTTATGTAGTTGGACTACCTCTAAGAATATTGACTTGCTTTATCTATGACTGGGCGGACCACCGCCAGATCAGTGATCCTATATATATATATATATATATATATATTATATTATATAATGAATATAGAATAACTAAACTCTATATAATCAATATCTACGTAAAATAACTAAACTCTATATAAAATAACTCTTTCATACATTACTAGTTACCAACTAATTCCTTAATGAATTAGAAAGATCATCATGCCATTGGAAAATAATGCCACACGGTTTCGGAAATAATGCCACACGGTTTCGGAGGCCCCAAGAAATTCTACTTAGCTTAGCAAAGCAGTTGGTCATCAAATATAATTTTCAATTTCTTCATCCCCAAGCAAACAACACTAACTAAACAACAAAACATAATACATTTTTTATATGAGTTGCCGTATAGTCCTGAGACTGCTTCCTTCTAAATCAGAGGTCTCGAATTTGAATTTTTAATATAGAGAAAATCCAATTGGGGTGGCCACCCGCGAATACTTTTTACATATATATGCAAATTTTCTTGATTTTTTTGGTGTATTTCTTTTACCTCTCATCTTATTCGTGATATTCTAACTCTGTCACTAATTTTTATAATTATTAAGAACAAAAAATATCATAATTAAATTATAGCAATAACAACAAAAATAAAATATCTAATATAATTTACAAGTAAAATGAACAAAATGTATGATAACTAATATAAATATAGGACATCTGGGCCTAACTCAACCCCAAAAGCTGGCTCATACAGGTAGGTTAATTTGTTCAAGTCCATATAAGGAGACCAAATTCTCATCTCTCTACTGATGTGGGACATCTTAACACTCTCCCGCACGCTGAGACTTCAACTCAACCCCAAAAGCTAGCTCATAGGGTAGGTTTGTTCAAGTCCATATAATGAGACCAAATTCTCATCCTTCTACTGATGTGGGACTTCTTAACCCTCTCCCGCACGCCGAGACTTCAACTGGAGCGTGAACACTTTTAAAACATTTCTAAATGGGGCCCGAACATCGGTGAACAACTAATTGGGATGGAGACTTCAACTGGAGCGTGAACACTTCTAAATGGAGACCGAACATCGGTGAACAACAAATTGGGATGAGTCTGACTCTAATTAATACCATGTAAAGAAATGACACATGAGTCTAACTCAACCCCAAAAGCTAGCTCATGAGGGGAGGTTTGTCCAAGTCCATATAAAGAGACCAAATTCTCATCCCTCTACTTATGTGGTACTTCTTAACAACTAACACCTTGTTCGGTTGTTACCCGTTGATTATATTATATTGTATTGTTAGTTTAAATACAATTTTTGGTTTGATTGTTACTTAAATTCTATTGTATCGTATTAGTTAAATCCATCATTAGGTAACGACGGAAAGACCCATTTTATATAACGATCGATTTGGCGTGATCGCATAATAGGACGGAGGGAGTACTTAGTTTGGTATGATTACTGTCCACTAAGCCCTAGAAAATTTGCACAAATTCCAATGTTTTTTTTTATTTTTATTTTTTTTATTTATTATTATTATTATTTTATTTTATTTTTGTAAATTCCTCACGGATCCCAAGAAACATAACTAACTCCTCAAAGTAGCAACTAACTAAGAGTATTTCATTTCAGAAGAAGACGAAGCAGCCTAAACAATTTTCTTCTACTTTTTTTCTGGGCGTCAGATTGAGTTTAGCTCTCTGATGGTGTATAATTGGATGCTTTTGCGTGAAGTTTGGTACACCCATGACTTTTTATTTTTATTTTAATAACGACTTTGATGTAATGGATTTGGAAAATTTATCTGATGGACTTTTCTTTGTTTTCTTATTTTTTCTTGTCCAATTTTGACTGTTGTTTAGTGTGAATGCAGGAAAAATTTGATCTTGATTGTGATTCTGGGATACAAATTGGAAAAAGGGCTAAATTTTTTTTGGAGGATAATGGGATTTTTGCATTTTTTAAGCTTTGGAAAATGTTTGGTTTCTGCAAATGATTGCGAAAGTGTTAGCTTTGGTTGGTTACAGGGTGGAAAAAGGTGTAGAGTTTCTTGAAATTGTGAGGTTGAGGTTCTGCTTATGTTGGGATTGACTTGTCAAGATTGCGGCTGACAATAGGAGTTTCTTTTGGGTTATATATTGGTTTGGGGTGAATACCTTCTGGAATGTTTGAGAAGATGCTTCTTTTTTTCCTTTTTCCTTTTTTTGTTTTAAAAAAAAATGATACATTTGAAGTTTCTTTTAGTTGACAATAGGAAGAAAGATATTCAGGAATGTTGAATTCTTGGAAACTCGGATATATAAGATACGAATCTGTTTTCACAATTGAGCAAGTAGTCTATAGTGTGGGGTTCTGGAAACAAGCATGTGCTTGTATTGATAGGGATCTGAAATTGTGAGAAGTTTGTGTGATCAGGTGAGATTTGCTTCAACCTGATTGTATCGCAAGGAGATCTAGCTCATCACGATCCTTACGAGGAGCTTACGTGTCTGGAGTGTGATAATAAGAAGTTTTGCTCTCAGTAGATGTTCTGTTTTGGTGATTTTAGTCTAGGGGTTGTGATTTTCGTTTAAACCTATCATGGATGAAGCTTCGTGCAGCACGAATGCACTGCCTCCTTTTCTTGCAAAGACATATGAAATGGTGGATGATCCATCCTGTGATGCAATTGTCTCCTGGAGTTCGAATAATAAAAGCTTCATTGTGTGGAATCCTCCAGATTTTGCAAGGGATTTGTTGCCTAGATACTTCAAGCACAATAATTTTTCCAGCTTTATCAGACAGCTAAACACTTATGTAAGTGAGTTAGTTCCCCTTACAGTTTTTAAATGGTTTTTTGTTTCTATCAGTTTTAGCTTACTTGTTAGTATTCACATTCATTTGGCCTCTTTTGTGCACCAGGGATTCAGGAAAATTGACCCTGAAAAATGGGAATTTGCAAATGAAGGTAATTTCATTAGAGGTCAGCCACACCTTTTGAAGAATATCCATAGACGTAAACCTGTTCACAGTCATTCTGCACAGAATCTTCATGGTCTGTCATCTCCATTAACTGAATCAGAAAGACACGGATACAAGGAAGATATTCAAAAGCTGATGCATGAGAATGGATCACTTCACTTGAATCTACAAAGACATAAGCAGGACCACCAAGGACTTGAATTGCAAATGCAGGTTTTAACTGAACGTGTTCAACATGCAGAACATCGTCAGAAGACCATGCTCTCTGCTTTAGCTCAAACCTTAGATAAACCAGTAATGGATTTGAGTCACATGCCACAACTTCAAGTGAATGACAGAAAAAGAAGGTTCCCAGGAAATAGCTGCCTTTATAATGAAAGTGACCTGGAGGATACGCGAGGGATATCATCTAGGGCTTTGAGTAGGGAAAATATGAACCCGTCCTCTCTTTTGATAATGAACACAGAACTGTTAGATCAATTGGAGTCTTCTTTGACTTTTTGGGAGGATGTGCTACAAGATGTTGATCAAGCTGGGATACGACAGAATTGTTCACTGGAGTTGGATGAATCTACAAGTTGTGCAGATAGTCCTGCTATATCTTACACACAACTAAATGTTGATGTTGGGCCTAAGACTTCTGGAATTGACATGAATTCTGAGCCTAATGCAAACACTACTCCTGAGATTGCTGAACCAGAAGACAAAGCAGCTGTAGCAGAGACGGCCACTAATGTCCCGACAGGGGTTAATGATTTATTTTGGGAACAGTTCCTAACTGAGAATCCTGGTTCAGTTGATGCTCCCGAAGTACAGTCGGAAAGGAAAGATATTGGCAGTAAAAAGAATGAAAGCAAACCAGTTGACAGTGGAAAATATTGGTGGAACATGAAGAGTGTAAATAGCCTGGCAGAACAGATGGGGCATCTTACTCCAGCAGAGAAAACTTAGTTTGGTAGGTTATATCACATAATCACAATGCTTTATTCATGTTGTTAGCCTTCTGGCTTGTTGTATATCTAGTGTACTAGTTTTTTTTTTTTAATCAGGGATTAGATGTACGTGTTGATGTATAAATTGATTTTGTTCTTGCTGTGCATTGCATGATATGAGGGAAATTGAGCTTCTGAAAATTCTTTGGCATAAGTTCCTTGTTTTATGCTGGTTTGTTCTTATTAGCCTTGCTCGTTGTACTTCCATTAGGCTACAATGATTTCTCTTTATTATTTGACTTAAAATCTCCTCATGTTTGCAGTCTTTTGTGCTTAACTGATTTTTGTCTTGTAAGATGCAGTGTCTCTTCTATCTAAAGTTTATTTTAAGAGACTCTGAAAGTATTTGGTCTACACTTAATTCTCCAATTGTCCTATATCATTGAATGCATATGCACTCTAAATCACAAAATTACTAAAATGCAGGCTTCTGTTTTGCCATTTCGTGGTAGTTGTATACTCTTTAGCTATAATTTTGCTTAGAGATGTTAGAGAGTTTTGTTTCTGTTCTCAAATGCACGTGGTTATACAATTATTGTTGAACTTCTACTAGCAGTTTCTCCTGGAAATAGGAAAAATATGATGCTGTTTAGAAAAGACAACTAATGCTATATTAGATACGTAAACGTTGGCTGGATTACCGATTCGTATTTGTATAGTGAAGGACAATGGTGTGTGGAAAATACACACTTCTCTTTCTTCTCCTTAATAAATCCCCTGCACTTTTCTATGCGTACACATTGTTGTAAGAGTGTCACTTGAGAGTGTAGAAATTATGTTGCTTGAAGCCTCACATATTCTGTAAGCTTATCTTTCCTCTGGGTTGAAGGCAAATGAATGTTGTGTCTGAAGCACAACAAGAGCAAGGCAAAATCAAAGGAAGAATATGGTGAAGTAAAGACATAATACAATTTGTCTTCCTTATCTTCTTTCATCATCTTAATAGAACCGTAGCTGTCAACACAAAACTTTAGAAGACAAATAGAAACATGCTTGCTTTTGATGTAGGACCAGAGAGGAAAAGAGGGAAAGGTAAGAGGGGAATATGTGTAGCAGATGTTTCCTGTATTGAGGTGGTGGAGGGTTCAAACTTCAAAGCATTTAAATCTGCTTTGTTCTATATCTAGGAATTCTGGGGCTTGTTTACCATTTTTTTTTTGATATATAATTGGGTGATGCCAAGCAATCTGTTTGACACAATTAACAATATGGTTTCTCTTTTTTCACCTTCCTCTTTGTTTTTCCGTTTCTTTTCACCACTTTAGTCCTTTATCCCCTGATTGTGTATATTGTGTTGCATAAAAGCTTTTTATGTGAAGAGGTGCAAGTTTTAAATCTCCATGTTATGTTGGTGTTTAGCAGGCTAGAGCGCCAAATGCCTCTCTTCTTTTCATTCCAATAAATGTTAAAAGTATTTTGTAGAGTCTGTTCTCTTTGACCCTGGCATTCTAAGTTGTTGTTTCCATGTGTGAAGGCATCTACGAGTTATTAAGTAAAAGGGCTTTGCAGATGTTGTCTTTGATATGTAGTTGAAAGTCTTGTTTTATTTCAACTAGATTGCACTTACATTTAACACTTCTGTTAAGAGGCATCTTATTCTCCCCGAAATTGCAGTGTTCTGTAATATTTATTAGAAAATTTTTCTTTTTCTTTTAAGCATGAAAATATGGGATTACGTCGGTGCTAAAGGCAGCCTGATATGTTGATCAGTAACTTGTCACTTTCTTTTTCACAGTGGAACAGTTTGTGCTCCAAAATAGCACAAAAAGACACAGGTTTGAAGACGTGGGGACTCCTCCTAGAGACTGTTCTTTGTTTGAGATCACTGTCTTGTGTTCCTGTTTAAAAGTAAGTATTGTCTTGTGGCTGTGGCCTGTGTAGACAACAAGTACTAAAGCCTACATGTCTGAAGTTGTGCAATATAATTTGAGTCAAAATCTTATCAGGCCAGAGAGTAAATTTGAAAATTTCAAAAAATGTATATATATTAGATGTTGAACCATGGGTGAAAAGGAAAGACAAAAGAAAGAAGCCACCCTCCGAAACCATTTTTTTTTAATTGTGTAAATATTTGTGGAGAACAAAATCAGAGTTAAAACTCGGACAATAAAACAGATAAAAGATATACTCTTTCTATTTCAATTTAATTGTCTGTAAGTTTTTCAGTTCCAATATTTTATGTGACAAGTTATCGACAAAATTTAAGTAACTAAACACATATTCATTACTTATATCAAGCAGAACAAATGCGGCTCCTAACAAGTAGTACCAAAACACAATACTCAAATGGCAGCAACTTCCCCAACACCATCAACCCTCTCCTCCTTCTTAGAAATGGCGAATTCCATCTCCGAACTCCACCAAGCTCACGCTGTCATGCTCAAAACTGGCCTCTTTCGTGATCCTTTTGCTGCTAGTCGCCTCTTGACTAAAGCCACTGTTCTTCCCATATCTTCCCCTGAAACCCTTTCATATGCACTCTCTGTTTTCACTCACATTGAAGAACCCAACTCATATATCTACAACACTATCATCCGTGCTTATTCCACTAGCCCCTTTCCACAACTTGCACTCATTATCTTCCTCAAAATGTTTAACTCTGTAAATAAAGTGTTCCCAGATAAGTACACTTTTACATTCATTGTAAAAGCTTGCGCTACTATGGAAAATGCTAAACAAGGTGAACAAGTTCATGGATTGGTGACAAAAATTGGACTTGAGGAAGATGTGTATATATACAACACTTTGGTTCATATGTATGCGAAATGTGGGTGTTTTGGAATTTCGCGTGGTATGATTGATGGGTTGATTGAAGATGATGTTATAGCGTGGAATGCATTGTTGAGTGTGTATGCGGAAAGGGGGTTGTTTGAATTGGCGCGTGAGTTGTTTGATGAAATGCCTGTGAAGAATGTGGAATCCTGGAATTTTTTGGTTTCTGGGTATGTGAATGTTGGGTTGGTGGATGAAGCAAGGAAGGTGTTTGATGAAATGTTGGTGAAAGATGTTGTGTCTTGGAATGTTATGATTACTGGCTATACTAAGGCTGATAAGTTTAATGAAGTTTTAACTCTTTTTGAGGATATGCTGAGAGCTAAAGTGAAGCCTGATGATTGTACACTTGTGAATGTGCTGTCTGCTTGTGCCGGTGTTGGATCTCTGAGCCAGGGAAAGTGGGTTCATGCATTTATCGAGAGAAATGGGATTGCGGTTCACAATTTTCTTGCTACTGCTCTTGTGGATATGTATTGCAAATGCGGATGTATTGAGAAAGGTTTAGAGGTGTTTAATGGTACTTTGAGAAAAGATATTAGCACTTGGAATGCAATGATTGCAGGGTTCAGCAACCATGGGTATTTGGATGATGCATTAAAGACCTTCAATGAGCTCATTGCTGATGGTATCAAGCCAAATGAAGTTACTTTTGTAAGTGTTTTGTCTACTTGCAGTCAAGGGGGCTTATTAAGCGAGGGACGCAGGATGTTTGAACTCATGATTAATGAGTACAGAATTCAGCCTACGCTTGTACATTATGGTTGTATGGTTGATTTACTTGGCCGGTTTGGATTATTAGAGGAGGCTGAAGAACTCGTAAGCAAATTGCCTGTGAAAGAGGCTCCTGCAATTTGGGAGTCCCTCTTGAGTGCTTCCAGAAGCCATAATGATGTCGAATTGGCAGAGCGCATCGCTACCAAACTTTTAGAGGTTGATCCTCGCGACAGTGCTGGTTATGTTCAACTATCAAATGTCCTTGCATCTATGGGGAGATGGGACGATGTGAGGGAAGTGCGGAGAAAGATGAGGAGCGAGGGGATAACTAAAGAGCCCGGTTGTAGTATGATTGAAGTTGATGGAGTTGTTCATGAGTTCTTGGCTGGTGAAGGGATAATATTGTAACAAGGACAAAATACTTCTTGTACAAGGCCATCAATCTAAATCAGTAATGGCTCTATACGCGCTGCTTCTACTACAGCCTGCAACTGACAGATGATCCAATCTGGCAAAAAATGGAGTTTGTCTTCTTTATGATAACCAAACTGTTGCTTATATTGGTAGAAATAGCTTTTTTTTGTAACAGAAGCAAACAGTTTGTTGTAAACTATAACAAGCAGCTATCGTAAACTTGTGCAAGATCCTAGAAGCAATGTCTGTAATTTAAATTGCTTCTTTCTTCATTTCAGTATCTAAGTACATAATAATTTAAAAACAATTAGCATACTCTTAACAGAGGGTAGTACCTACAAGTTATCTACATTTGGATTAAGAAATTCAAACTAAGCAATTATTACTCATCAGAACAACAGCATTTCTGTAATTCTGCTCCAATATTGACCTGGTTCAGCTCAAACCATACCTGTCGAAAGACTTTGATAATGATATCATGGTATTCATCACAGTTGAGTGTTAGATAACAAGCCAATAACTCTTCAAGCTCCTCTGAGCTTTTTATCCCTCTCTGTGTGATCATCTCAATCATCGAGTCTCTGAAGTCGCTGAAAGGGTCAAATGAACTCTTCATAATAGCATAGCTATCGAAAACTGTCCTGTCTCCTCTGAAACTCTCCTTTGTCTCGTGTCTCGTCTTCATCCTTGCTTTCTTCATGTCTTCAAGAGCTTTGATTCTGCATTCCATCTTGGCTGTTCGTGGTGAATATGCTCTGACTTTAATACCATGTTTTCTTCTTCTCTTCTGGTTTATGTACACTGATTTTCTCTGCTGACAACCACTTTTCTCTGACATTTCTTTGATCTCAAGGCATTCTGATTCAAATTCTTCTTCAGACAATGCATCAGCTTCTTCCTCTAGATTCAGAGATTTAAACATCATGCAGCTTTCTTCCATTGAATTCAGACTGGAATCCGTGTAAGACAAACTCCGCGTCTTTCTTGAATTATAGGCTGTTGGTTTCTCCTTTCCCCTTTTCATTACCTTCTCATTCTCGGGATCTATTTCAAATATATCTTTCTCTATCACTTCTGCTGCTATTTCTTCTCTAGCATTTTCCGCTATTCTCTCCTCCAATGCTTTTCTACTAAGCTTCCTCAACTTCTCATCTTTGACAGAATTCCTCTTTCTGTTGCTGAATTCTGCTTCATTCTTAGAATTCCACATCTTCTTAGGCTTTTCACTTATCTTTCTAGAAACCATATCATTAAACTTGTGATTCTCTTCTCCCAAACTACTCTTCGAATTCCAAGCTGAATCTTGATCACATTCATCATAAGAATCACACCAGAGTGGATTCTGAGGATGAGCGTCAAATCTGTCCTCACTAAAAGAAATCCTCCAATAAGGATCATCATCATAAAATCTTCCTTCTTTCAAACAAACATTCGTCCGTGAGGTATACGAAGCCAAATCCACCTTCCCTTTGTGCTTCATCTTTTCTCCTTCTTGATCCTCACTGCTACCATCCTTCTTTTGCTTGAATTTTGACAGCCAAGAAACAGGGAAAACATGAGTTATCAATGAAGATGAAGGTTTCTTTTTACCCCACTTCATCTTGGAACAGTTTACTAGTAGAGAATTGTGTTTCTTGGAAGGTAAAAATAAACAAAGAAAGAAGTGAAATAGAAGCAGTTATGGGGCAGTTAGGCTGTTAAATAGGTAAGTGGGATTCATGTTTGAGGAGTTGTCCACTTTTTTAGGTTGCTTTTATTTACTATTTAGTTCAAAAGAAAGGCCCGCCATTTAAAAAATCTTGTGACCACTTACCCACTTCTTCCCACTTTCTAAGTTTTGCAGAATTGCTGTTCTATTTTCAAGGGACCAAATTCACTTGGTCTCCTCACCTAAAGTCATGCAACTACTTTACGTTTGTCTTTTTTATTTTCTACCCTCGTACAATTTTACTTGCGATGTTTAAATTTTTTAAAATGTCACACAAGATGAGTTGTTTCTGAGCAACTAGACTTGCACCTATTCGCTTAATAGCAAATCATCTTTAATGATGAGATTGAATACCTAGATCGAATCAGGATTAGTAAGTTGTTTTTAGAGATATCACAAGCATTTCAAAATTGTAGTATTTAAAATTGAGTAAAAAAGTTAGTACTAGTTTGATGAAGGATGTAGGGACATATAGTAGGGCCCAAAAGTTTCTACTTTAGTTTTACCTTAAAACACGATTTAGCTTTGTCTTTTGTTTTTTAGATTGGATTCCTTCTTTTGCTTTTAGCTTTGTCTTTAGTAACTTCACCTTGACTTTGGCTAATACTAGAGATCTTTACATAGTGTGATTGATACTTCCATTATTTTGAGTTCAAGTAGCAAATTATGGGCCATAATTGTTTTGTCCTTTGAGAATGACATTGGCTTCAACAGGGCAGCCAAATATGTACTACTAATTGCTTTTCGTTTTGGCCCAATACCCAAGGTTCCTAAAGACTCTCCTAGATCTAAAAGGTTATAAGTTTTAATTCTTTACACAAACACATCTAGTAATTTTATTTGTATAATCATCTAATATCCCGAAATTCACTTGATTGATTAATTTAAATCTACATTTGTTAGGAACATTCTCTATCGGAAGTTTTTGGTATTTTCAAGGCTCCAACCTGAGACTTCTAATTAAAAATGGAAAAGAAATATCACTCATCCCGCCTTGAAGTTTTAATTTTAGTGAATAAATTCGATAAGAATGCACATAATTGATTAGTCGTTATGGGCTACGAAAACTGGCATACAAATATTCAATTAGTTCTTCATAAGTATTAAATTTATAGTTTATCAATTTAAAGGGAAAAATGACAAATATACCCTCGAACTATCGTAAATGATATACAAATACCCTCTGTTATACTTTTCGTTCATTAATGCCCCTGCCGTCCAAAAAACAGTGCACATCTGAGAGAAGGAGATTTTTCTTTAGGTTTTTGGATAGGCTATATGTGTGTGTGATGGGTGTATCAGGTGGGTTAAATGGGTAATGGGCAAGTATTTGAATTTTGGGTTAATTATTTGGTCAAACTGGGTTGATCCATAGGATTGTGCCACGTGTACCAAATAAGTATTCTATTATAGTGAGGGGTAAATGTGCACTACTTTTTGGACGACAGGACACTAATGAATGAAAAATATGACGGAGGATATTTATATACCATTTACCATAGTTCGGGAGTATATTTATCATTTTTTCCTTTAAATTGATAAACTATAAATTTAATGCTTATGAAGAACTAATTGATTATTTGTATGCCAGTTTTCGTAGCCCATAACGAATAATCAATTATGTGTATTCTCACAAAATGGTTTCTCTCTAACCTACCTTCTTGTGGGGTCTGTATTTGGTTTTAAGCATATGTAGTGTCAACAAAAATTAAAATGACTTTAATAGTATTTATTGGAAATGAATATTTGCCACTTGAAATCTTCAAAAGCATAATTCTTTTACTTCCCTCAAACATGATAAAAGGCATTACTTTAGTCTTTATGTTCAAGAATTAATACCAATTTTTCCTAGTCTCAAAGTTGTTGCACTAAAAAAAATTACTACTCATATTTTATTCCATTTCCTATTTGGACTTTGCACAAATTGTTCTTCCTAAAAAAAGAAAAAGAAGTTTCTTGAAATTGCTTTACATATATGGTTTAAAGTCCTTCCTTTTATTAACTTTATAATGGACAAGATTCCATTTTACATGTGATATAGGAAACAAAGTTCACTTTCATTTATTTCTTTTGAGTTGGCTACATGAATTTCAAAGTTTCAAAGGACATGAATACACATTGGAAAACAAGGCAATCAACATCTAGTTTGTTAGATGATGCTTGTTAAAAGTAATCATATAGTCATATTACATCATTCTTGTTGGGAGATATTTTGGTTAAAAGAACCTTTCTGATTGTGATTTTAAAATCAAATTTGAAACCTAACCAATTATAGGAACTTGGAGCAAGTGTCAACCACCAACCAGCTGCAAGGCATTACTCCCTCTGTCCAATTTTTCTGTGGCAAGATTTGGATTTTCGAGATCCAATCTTCTAAACTTCGACCGTGAATTCACATATAGACACTTCAACTATTTTGATTTATAAATTACAATAGTTATTTACTTAAAAAATTTAAAAGACATATAAGGAAATTCTGGTCAAAGAAAGACTTAGTTGAATTTCGAAGTTCAAATTTGGGAAAAGGTTAAAAATGATCAAACAGTCAACTATCAAATACTTAAAGAAACAATAAAGGGAGTTATATTTGGCCAATCTTTAAAGACCTGAGGATGTTATTAATCTATAAAAGAAAAATTGAGATATTTTAAGAAAAGAACATATATGTGAAGTCAGTCATCCACATATAAAATATACTATATAAATAGAGAGAGCTAGCATACACACAAGGCTAAAAAGCTAGGCATGGCTCAATTTAAAATTTCATTTTCTTGGTTCAATTTGCTTTCTCTTTTGCTAATCAATGTGTATGTTTGTGGGGTTTTCTCCTTAAGTCTTTATGGAAATGATGAATACATTTCAGCTGTTGGAGATTCAGGGATGAGACGCGACGGGCTAAGAGTGGCCATAGAGGCATGGAATCAATGCAATGAGGTTGGAGAAGAAGCCCCCAAAATGGGAAGCCCAAGGGCTGCTGATTGCTTTGATGTTCAAAACAAAGGCTCTTCTCAGCAACAACAGAGTGAGTTGAGCTTTTCTATTTTCTTGATTTTGTTATGTTTGAATGCATCGGTCGGTTCGGTTCGGTTATATGTATTATTTGTTCGGTTTTTAAATATGTTAACCAATAACAAATCAATAAGATATTTTTTATCGTTTTTTTATCATTATCAGTTCGGTTTTCGATTTACCCAATAAGAAAATGTCAGTAAAATATTAGATGACTTCTCACTTCTTTAAACGTTTTGATATAGTAAAATAAGAAAGATAATGAGAAATTGCATTAATAAGAGAAAATATTGTACGAAGGTAATAATTACACGTCACCGCCAAAACAAAGTATGAAATTTCTTATGTTAATCAAATTACAAACATTTACAAACTTGCAAA